AGATCTCCCATTATGTGATCTTAATATGACCTTAAGGCTACGACTCAGTAAAAGTACAACCAGACTGGTTATGTGCATGTTTAACCAAAGTACCACCTCACTGCAGCAGAAACTACTCCATCAGATGCGTTGTTACAAATATTTGTGTTTGGCTGTCTTCCTTTGCTCTGTACAGTAGACATATGTTCCCATTATCCTTCAATTTCCGGTATGTTGAAGTAGAACTTGAGTGGCCATAATTGGCATACTAGCGCCTATGCCCTTCCCTCTTTTCAGGTGAAATAGCTTAGAGTTGAATCGTGTCCCAGCGTGTCGCCTAACCTCTCCTCGCATTTATACACAGAAGTGACTCATCTCCCTCCCCATCTTCTTCTTAATAGGAAACCCAAACCTACATTTGTGAGAGACCTTCAGAATGACACGACCCGATAATGCCAAGCATCAAGTGGAGCAACAGGTGCATGTGCATTCCAACCTAGAAGCTACGTGTGCAAATCAACCACCAACTTCCTCTACATTCTTCCAGACCTTACAAGTCCTCGTTTGGTGGAGTTGAAACTACTGTACCAATATTGTGGCCATCTGACTACAGCACAAAGGTAGGCGCAGTAACACTGACTTATTGTGGCATAAAGATAGAGTAGCATAAAGGCAGTACTTTGTACCAATGTTTACATCTCAAAACCGTGAACAAAGCACTATATTCTCGTCTAGACCATCCCCACATGCAACTGCGGCGTGCCGATAGTGATACTCGTCGCACCCCGTATGGGCGTGTAAGCGTTGGTAAAGTTGACCAATAGGAAGACGACGAAAACCAGTGCACATCGATCGAAGAGTGAGGGCACGGAATGACTAAGGCGAGCATGTGATACTGTCCGCCTTCCGCAATCCCCAAATCGAGGCCAACGAAAAAGTATGCGCGCGCCGGTTTTGCAATCACCAAACTTGGACTCCGGAATAACTGCATCGTATCCTTGCAATTTGCTAAATTCTCTGCTTTTCGGCAAACCACTTCTTATCTAAAGAACACTCGACACACACAATAATGTACTTAAAGGCGGCAATGTTCACACCAATCACCCCTCGATCACATCAAAAGAACCAGATAATACCAGCGAAGATAATTACGGATTTCGACTCGCTATAGTGAGTTTGAACGCAAATTCCCTGCAATTCAGCCAACACGCTGTAAACGTCAGGTCGTGTTAATTACAATTAGGAGAGGTCGTCAAAGCTAAGCACCAAGAAATTAAAAAATACAGCGACGCAAAAGCCGTTATCATTAAAAAACCTAAAA